CCTTAGCGATCTCGGCCACCGAATCGGCCAGAAATACTTTTGTATGTATGTATTTTACAATTTAATGTTGGTTTAAACTGACTTATGCCAGCTAGCGGTGTTTCCAGACATAGTAACGAAACAATGTATGAATCTTACTCATATACACTATAGTAAGTTACTTCATCAAACACTTTTTGTAATCAGATTCCATGAATGGGTTCTTGATACACAACTTGTGGTATTACCAAAGTATGCACTTTCTCGCAATGCTCTTGCTATAAACGCTCCGCAATATTATATTGATTTGCATATTATATTGAACAATTGAGATAATGTGACATACGTTTCACAATTACCACAAGATAGTTGTAAACTTGTATAAAATTTCAAAATACGAAAAGACATACATCCACTTTGAGTTTATTTCGAATATAAACAGATCGTATATGTGAGTACATTTGCTTCAAATGATTTTCAATAAAGTTTCTGCAATTCTCAATAGTGTTCTGGGAAAGAAGAGTTTTGTGGCAAATAATTACCTCTGAGACAGCCTCCAACATTCTGTTCTCCCCTCCATAACGCTGAATCCCAACCCGACATTTAACCCCTTCGGCCACCCGGGTTATACAAAGAATTAGCACTTCTGGAATAGCCATAAGCGCCGAAAGATAATTGGTTTGTCGATATTCTTTACAAATCTTCTTTTCAAGAGATGAGGCAATATTTTTTAAAAGTTGAACATTCAAAAATCACATACAGATACTTCTATTTTATTTTTGTTCATTTATAGTATCTGGGATTATAATTGCTTCAAATGGTTTTCAACAACGTTTATGGATTTATCAATTATTTTCGGCGGCAACAGAATTGTTACAAATAATATTCACCGATGAAGATTCCAACCAGCGACCCCCCCCCCCCCCGAAGAGCAGAGCCCGTAAACGCCAATTAGCCACCTCGGTTACCCGGACATCACGTGCGAAGCACACATAAAAACAGTAATAAGCGTGTTGTGGTTTCAGTTCTAGCATTAGGAAGCCGAAAACCAAAGAAGATTTCTGGGAAGAGAAGCAATCGCAACTATAATCCTAGTTCATACTATAGCGATTAGAAAAATTCTGCAAAAAACTCTGTGCATTTATACACAACAAGTTTATTTATTTATTTATTTATTTATTTATTTATTTATTTATTTATTTATTTATTTATTTATTTATTCATTCATTCATTCATTTATTTAAATTGATAGTTTTCTACAACTAACTCTTTCTAAAGCAAAAAATATCTTCAATTTTGTAGTTTTGAAGTTTTTCGCAATTTTAGAAAAAAACGAGCAATGCCCTAAAATGAAATCTGCACCATATTTCTTACGTTCCTTATTACATATGTAGAGAAAATTTGAAGCAAAAATTTGGAGCGGTTTTTGAGAACATTTTTCGTTCATTTCAAGTAGAAATTACGCAAAACTACTAACGTTTACAAAAAAAATGTACTTGACCTTTTTTAATGTCCCAATTTATTACAACTGATTTTATCTATCTTTACTTTTGTAGTTTTAAAACGTATTTTGCAATTTCCGAAAAATCGAAGTAGTAAGCAAAAATGAGATCTAAACCAATTTTCTTAAACGTCCTTTTTTTACGTCACATTGTACACATTCCTATATCACTCTGTTACATCCCAATAATTTGAAATGAAATGTAGGGCTCTTATATGGCAGTTTGCTGAAAGGATATATTTTAATAGTGTTTTTACCATTCTTATTTGATTATCATTCAATGCCATTGACACGAACATTTGGGGTGTGAGGTATACTAGTGTGGATATGTATACTACATTCCGAAATCAGTTAGTACTACAAAATGAATATAATCTAATGTGTAGACGATTGTGTTATATATGTTTTATAATATACTATATTATATACTATAGAATATTATGAATAAGTAAATAAAAAGGAGTGAAAACGTACATCTCATTGGGAACTAGACAATGGCGAAAAATAGTTTTATCTTCTCTTAATCGTTTGAACGAATTTTACAATCAAAATTTTAGTAACAAGTTGTAACTCAATTATATTTCTCCGTACAAAGTTAATTGTCTAAATTACTTCCAGCCGTGCCTACTGAAAGTTATAAAATTTATTTTTCTTGTGAGTATATACCCAACTTTACCAAGTCTTGTAAATCGCACGTATTGCAGTCGCTGTCTGCAACCTTCATGGTCTGTCAGTTGCACAAAAAACAATGATATGAACCATTTTACTGTGGTCATAATATTCGTAATTCAGGTCTCCGTAGGTCACGAAGCAAGCGATAGCGCCCACAAATACCGCTTGTTGACTGAGAGTGGATGGCGTTTGAGCGGCTCTGTTCGGTGGGGAAATAAAGGGAATTCTTTAATTTAATTACCATCAAAAAACAATACAAATTTCACATCAGACATTGGCCATAAATATAACCTGCGCTTTCTTTAGCACGATAATCTCCCTTGTATTAGCATCAGAACTTATCTTCTACTATATGTAGCTGATTAAATGTGGCGTGCTTGACAACGTTTGAAAACGAAAAAATTTCGCTGCCATGGAATAGAAAATATTTGCTACGGCAAATGAAATAACATATTTCATTGTATGGTATTCTTTACGAAATAACATCCTTTACGCTCTACAAATCCCCATTTATTGTTTACTTTTCGAAGTTAAATTAAAAAAACCAATACAAATAAAATATTTATTTCCTATTTCTTTGCTATTCTTACATGTACATGATATGTTGCCACAAACATGAATTTTGGTAAAACGGACCACAAATGCTTGTTCGCAATTACTCAATCTACAATCTCACTCATCACTACGTTCATATTATCTCTTGTTCGACGAGTCATGAAACTGTTGAATATAAGAGTCACCTCAATTCGAGGGTATACCTCAAACTCCAGTATAACAAATTTTGAAAGATATTCAGATCTAATACTGCATATTCTGTGCGTCTCATCTATATGTTAAATTTATCTTGAAGAAAACCCACGCCCACGGCAATACTCATACCCCAACTAGAAAAACAAGAGCTGAACAAAACGTGCGCATAATGAAGCTACGTTTCTGTTCAGAATCATAACAAGAGGCCATCTGCGCATTTGCTTAATGATTCAGCGTCTCTGGAGGGAAAACATGATCGAGATGGGTTATTGACTCAATAGCTCAAGTACTACAATACTTGTAAAGATATTTTTAGACTTTTAAATAAATGTATAGTACAAGTGTTAACTACAATTAAAATTAATTAGATATAAATATGAAAATAAATACTTTTTCATACTCTCTACAAGGCTTGGGGTAAAACTGGTTTAATTATCTTCTCTCTAGGAGAAACAAAATACTACCTTTTCAGCACGGGACCTTAATCACTAAGAGGCAATCCTGACACCCTCTTTAATTTGCGCTCTGCTATCGTTTACGCCAGATGCTTAGAGACCTGAGCCTCCGACTTCTCTTTGCCTCCCGTTTCTCTTGGAAAGTCGTTTGCATGATGGGAGCTTGTGCGAATCATGTCAGCCGGGCTTCTGATTTAACTGATCTAAAAACTTGCGCTACGCAGTGTGGGCGGAGGAGGATAATTTAGTATATCCCGTTCATTCCTTTTGATTTCCTATAAATTTTACTTAGTGAAAATGTGTTGTGGAAACGGACTATGGAAAACCCTTTTGACTATATAATGTTAGAGATCCATGCAGATTGAGAAAAGAAAAGGAGGGTGCGCATCGGTAATCCGTAGAATTAAACCATAATAACTAAAATTATTCTGAATGGTAGGCGGAAGTTTTGAAATAACGATAATCTAAGAAGGTCAGAATACAGCTGCGCAGTAATCCTTGAATGACTTTAAAGGA